CCGGCGAGCCCCTCTGCTTCACCGGCTACTGCAGCCCCCGCATCGTCGCGTGGTTGAGCTTGTTGATGTTCTGCACCTCCTCCTTGGCCTCCCTATTGCAGCATGTGCAGCGAGCGGCTCCGCTTGCGACACCATCAACGGTTGCAGCACCTCGCCGGATCCCTCGCGTCGCCGCCCACACCATGAGAAAAAAATCAGCATGTGCGGCCATGGCGGGATGAAGCAGAAGCGGACAGGGATGAAGCGAGATGGCGAGGTGTGAATCAGGAGAGGTGAGGCCATGACGGGATGAACCAGGGAGACGGAGCGTGCATGGATGAAGCAAGGAGATGCGGGGATCAGGCAGGAGAGATTGGCCATGGCGAGTTTGCAGGGATGGTAGTTGTGCCGTCCAAAAAGGGACGAGGCTGGAGGAAACATGTGGATGGTGTGAAGATAACGCTAGGAGGTTGGGCGGCAGGCGGGCGCCACATGGGACACGTGTCAAGCGAGCGTGACGGTTTATGTTTCGTTGTTATCAGTCGGCTTAAAACAAACGTTTTCCTTTCTCTTTTGGTCCACCGTGTATCATAGTGTTTTCTTGTTATGAATTGGGTTTGTTGATACACCATGAAATACAAAAGCCTCTATAGCCGGACCCTCTATATGCCTATTAACGTCCGTGTGGTCAGTATCTGGTCAAAGAAAACTGACCTAACCTGACCTTTTTTTTTCTCCTTAAACGCCTGAACTGGCCGACGTTCCTCAAACCCGTCTAAAATACATGGACAATATGAGGCTGACTGGTCACGCCCGGGCAGTGCTCATCCACATTGAACGAAAGACCCCACCTGCAGCCACACAGAAGACCACGACGACCACGAGCTCGCACACGCGCCATGCCGGGGTCGGAGCTCGTGCACGCATGGCGCCGTCGATGCTCTGGGGCCAGAGCTCGCGCACGCGCCGTTGCTGCTGCTCCTGCTCCGCCCACCACCACCGCCAGATGCGACCTGCTCCGTGCTCCGCGAGGCTCCCCGCGGCGTCCTCCTCCCATCCGTGCAGCCGCGTGCTGTGCGTGCTGGCCGCCACGTGTGAGCGCATCCGCAGCCGCGCGCTGGCCACCGCATGCTGGACATGACGGCCGGGGCTGCGTTTGGATTGGCCGCATGACCCGTGTACGGAGCTCACGGCAGCGTGCTATCCGTGCGTGCGTCGTGGCCGCAGCATGCTGGCTCCCGCCGTGCGAGACGCCTGCTGTCTGCCGCCATGCGTGTTGCCTCGTGAGGCCGTGTGTGCTAAGCCGCAGCGCAGCCGCGCGTGCGAGCCGAGTGTGTTGGCCGTGCTAGCCATGCATGCCGTGCGTGCCGCCCGTGCTGGCCGTGCGTGCAGCCGCCGCCGCATGCTGGCCGACGCCCTCACGCCTGCGCATGCGTGCTGGCCGACACCCTCGCGCCTGGGCAAGCAAAGCTCGCCGCCGCCACCACCGCATCCGCTGGCCGGCCGGCAGCTGTCATGCTGCGTGCTCTGACGGTGGCGCACAGAACCTATTCGTCGAAATGTCATAATATGATGAGGCTGGTTTGAGGAGTGTGATTGTTTTGGAGAGAGAAATTAGGGACGAAAACGGACGTGCCCAGTCGCGGGCGTTTGAGGGGTCAAATTAGATGGACGTGGTTGTAGATGCTCTAAGACCCGCTTTGAAAGAGGAAGGAAAACTCAATGAACACTTTGAAACATGATAATTCTTAAAAGACAAAAAGTAACATGAAACTCAAAGCAACCACAAACAGTGGATCTGTGTATGAGATATCCTGTGCATGGTAGAATTACTTTTCTCCAAGTTCATCTAGATGTTGGGGCATTCGGAACTTTCATTAGGGTAAATATTAAGTGTGATGTCAATCTGCCATTTACCGACATTTGTTACTGTGTCTAGTTCTGGAAAATGAGAACATTATCAAGTGCAATATGAGAAGATCCCTAAGTTCTGTTCCGCTTTTGGCCTTTTGGGGACATATGCATGAGGAGTGTGAATACAAGAACAAGGACTTGAAGCGGGGCGCATGGCTTAAAGTCGATGCACACACATGAAGAGGCCAAATTTCATGTGGAAGAGGTAGGGCAACATGTATATATGAGGGGGTGACATGACTGACTTTGGATGTGGTCGTACTGATTTTGGTCGACGCAGAGGTAGAGGGGACTTTGTGGATTGGTGCCTACATTCCAATGCTGCCCAGAATAAGACCTTAGGCAGAGACAACATCTATCCCGGGTAAAAAAAGTGTATATTTGTCTGAGGATGAAAAGGGAGTGAGGAAAAGATTATGTTCAGAAGATGAAGAGGAGGAAGAAAACACTGATCATGGTCTATTGAATGTTGTCCCGGTTGGTAATGTGACAAAACTGGAGTAGCTATGGAGATTAGTTAGGACCTAAGTAACTAGGAAAGGAATGATAAGAAAAGACAGGGGGGTTATGCAAGTCAGCTTCGAGATGATCAGCAGCCTCTCTCGGATGGGTGCGCAGACAACAATGAAACTCCTATTCTTGAACTGCCATGGTTTGGTAACATTGCGGCAGTTCGATTATTCCTGGTTGCCCATCACTGTTGTAACCCCGGAGGTTTTGCTCCTGTCGGAGACACACCTCGATGGCTATCCAGCTGAGTGTTTGTCTAGAAATTTGCATATGAGATTTAAAATTGTCTCGGTGAGTGACAAGGAAGGATGGCTAGTGCTATTTTGGAGAAGAGAGGATAGTGTGTAGAAATTGTTTGCGACGCCTTATTACATTGATGTTAAGGTGGTGAAGAGGTGGAAGGGAACGGAGACTCACCAGAACTTATGGTGAATTCCGTTTCGAGGAGAAACACTAGACATGGGAGCGCATGCGCTACCTATAGTAACACTCTGACCACCCATGGCTATTGGTGGGTGACATAAATGAAATCATGCTCATGGAGGAGAAAGCAGGCCAACCCTCGTCCTCGAAAGTGTATGGAAGCCTTTTGGTGGTGCTCTTAGTGATTGTGAGCTCAAAAACATTGCGTTCATAGGCGAATTGTTTCAGAATTCAGAGTTTAATGCAAACAAGGAAATCTGGTTCGAATTTTCAAATTAAGTATAAAATAGAAGGTGAATTCAGGGCAAAATACTATGTAGGCAAAAAAACAAACAATGAACTTCTCAAGGAGTGTCGTATATTCCCTTTTTTTCTTAAAAACAAATTTGATTACCGTTGATCCATGTGCCGAAAAACGGAAAAAAGGTACACGAAGAACGTATAATCTGTGTGAATGCTTCCAACAAGCAAGCAAATTCGGAAATACTGAATCCAAGCAGGTCAGGCTGCTTTGTCTTGACAGCATTTGGCCCTGGAAGATCATGAGTAACTTTTCAATTTTTTGTTGGAAGATCATGAGTAACTGAAGTACTGAATCCAAACAGATCAGGAGTAACCGAGTAGTACTGCACACGATAAACGGCACATCGACAAGCAAGAAAAAGGTAATACAAAGAACGTAAAATCTTTCTAGATTACTTCCAACAACCAACAAGCAAGAAAGTTCAGTAATCTCCAGTGAACAAGAAAATTGCTAAAGATTGATTTGTTGATTACGATGGTCATGGAAATTACAAGACATTCAGAATTTTCTTGATCATCAAGAAGCACAAAGAATTACACTAAGTTCAGAACTTTCTTGATTACCTAACCAGCAAGCACTACGACTACAGAAAATCCAGCGTTCTGTTGATACCAAGATCCACAGATCTTCCGTTACAATTGAGTCCTAACAACATTCTTCCATTACAAATCAAATTAAATTCCACTAGGAAAATTCCCCGCGATCAGCAAAAAGTAAGATGAGAGAACAACCAAGTATAGGCAAGAAGACTAGAATCTACATCCGGTAAGCCTGGAGCGGCATTACGTCGAACACCACTCTCGGCGCCGGCCAGAGCCTCAGCTCGGTGAGCGGGTCGCCTGCTCCGCAAGCCATGTCACTGGGCGGCGCCGCTGCATCCACATCGGCCCTGATATCCCCGGGCGCCAGAGGGAACAGGTCGAGGCACTTCCTCGCCGCCGCAGATGTGTCAGCCTCCCACACCTCCTCGGCCGAACCAGGGAACAGCGGCAGGCACCGCGGCGTGACCTCGGGGCCCGCGGCCTGTCGGGCAGCGGAAGGAGCCCACGGGCGCGTCTGGCCCTGTTGGGAGGGGGCGTGCTCCTGGCGCTTGCGGAGGACAGAGTTCCAGCGATTCTTGACGGCATTGTCGGTGCGGCCGGAGAGGAAATCGGCGATGGTGGACCAGCGGTTGCCGTAGGTGGCCTGGTACTTGACGATGAGCATGTCCTCCTGGATGGTGAAGGGCTTGACGGCCTCCACCCTGGGGTCGAGGTGCTGGCACCAGCGGAGGCGGCACGACTTGGAGTTGCGGCCGGGCAGCCCTCGGCAGATGGAGTCCCAGTTGTGCGGGCCGCCGCAGCGCCGCACCTGCTCCCGCAGCAGGTCGTCCTCCTCCTTGGTCCACATCTTCTTGACCCCGTGCGGCGAGCCGTCACCGTCGCAGGCGCCGGCGTCGTTGCCCGACGTCGGCATCATCACCCCCAAGCTTGGATCGCCTTTCTTGCAGAGGATGGAGCTGACGCGTGCGTGCGTGCGTGCGGTGGCGAGAGGCCGGAAGGGAGAAGGTGGACGCGTTGCGGGTGGTGTGGGGAGGCCGCCGCTGCGTGCCGCCTTATATAGGCGAAGTGGAGTTGGCACCGGATCCGAGCAGGAGTCCAAACGGCGTCGGCTGCAAGGAAAGGCAGTCCCGGCCGAGCCCGTGCGGAGGAAGATATGACAGGAACGATCGACCAGGATATGGAAAGTTTAGATCGGGAATTGATGGGCTGTGCGTCCGTCGGATCGGAAATCCATCAAATGTATGGAAACTAGCGCGTATGGGCCGAGTTTATCGCGGAGACGGGTGCCAACATGGAAATTAATTTGGATTCTGTAGATTTATGTACCTCCCTCGCCCCTAAAGAAGGAAAGACTCGCTGTCTCTTAGAGCCAGGACATCGATAAGTACCGACCTCCCAGACCGAACGACTCGTTCGTCACGGGAAAGCCAATCAATCGAACGGTGTCGTTCGGGACGTCAAGTGCCCAGCCCGAACACCCCCAGGCCTTTTTCTTCGTTGAAAAAAAACAGGAAAATAAAGCCCAGTTTGTCCAAAAGCTAATGTGACTAAGAAAGCCCGCTTTTGGCTATGAATAATAAAGGTCGGATTTTGGCACGATAGATATATAAAATAAAGAACAAGATACTACTAACAATCACTATGGGTTGAAGCCAAAAAAATTGCCATCATCTTTATAAGCAAAATTTGCCCTGTTCAAAAAAAGATCTTTTTATGCAAATGGCTACCATGATGGCAAAAAATGTGGATTAAAAATCCGTATGCTATTTTTACTATATAAATAAAGAGACAAAAAAGTGGATTGAAACTTGCCATCATGTAGAGCAGAAAAAAAAATGCAACATGGTTGGTGTAGTGGTGATTGCCATGTTTTGTAAAGTAAATGTACCATAGTCTATAGAAGCAAAATTACCATGAACGATGGAAAGGTCGAAATCTGCCGTGGATGTAAAGTATTTTTGCCATGGCAAAAACATAACTCAAACTTGCCATGCTCCGTTAGAAATTAAATGTGTCATGAGTGACAAAAAGTAAATTTGCCATGTATGTTAAATAAAAATTGCCATGGCAATAAAAAGTTAATTTTGCCATGGAAATAAAAAGGTTAATTTTTCCATGGTAAAATTTGCCATGTATGTTCAAGAAAATTTGCCATGTACTTACGAATAGAAGTCGCCATGGCAATTAAGGTAAAAATTTGGCATGGCAAAGTTAAAAGTAAATTTTTTGACATGGCAAAAAAGAATAAAATTTGACATGTATGTTCAAGTAAATTTGCCATGTACTTACGAATAAAAGTCGCCATGGCAATTAAGGTAAAATTTTGCCACGGCAAAGTTAAAAGTAAATTTTTTGACATGGCAAAAAAGAGTAAAATTTGCCATGTATGTAACAGTAAATTTGCCAAGTAATTAAAGGTAAATTTTCCATGGCAATGAAGCTAAAAATTTGTCATGGCAAAAAAAGTAAAAGTTGACATGGCAAAAGTACAAAGTTAAATTTTCCATGCTCCATGAATTTTACTTAGTTTTGGCATGGCAAATAAAAGATAAATTTTTCCATGACAAAAATAAAGGTAAATTTGACATGGCAAAAATGAGTAAATAATCGCATGGCAAATACTCCCTCCGTTCCTAAATGTAAGTCTTTGGAGAGAATTCACTATGGACCACATACGGAGCAGAATGAGTGAATCTACACTCTAAAATGCATCTATATACATCCGTATGTGGTCCATAGTGAAAACTCTACAAAGACTTATATTTAGGAACGGAGGGAGTAAAAGGGAAAATTGTGCCATGTATGTGCAAAGTAAATTTGCCATGGCAAAATGAAAGGGAATTTTTGCCATGTCATGACAAAGAAAAAATTGCCATGTTATAAAAAAATAAGAAAAGATTTATCATGCTCACAGCCAAAAAATGCTGAAAATTGCCATGGCAATTTTTTAGATTGTGAACTTGGGTGAAAATTGCCATCATAGAAAACAAAAGAGAAGAAAAAAAATCTATATTTGCCATGGCAAAAAAGAAGACTAAATTGTCATGGCAAGTTACAGAATGTAAAAAAGTCTATATTTGCCATGTTTCTACACAAAACTGACCAAAAAAATGCCATTTTCTACGGGGAGCTAGCTGAAAAAGACATCTACAAATTAACTTGAGTGCACTAACAACTTGGGGTGGGGGATGAGGGGAAGAGAGAGAGATGGATTGACCTTTGGTGGGGAGACATGGTTAAACAATTTATTCTTGCTATCATGACGAAAAAAGAGACTTGGTACCTGAAACAAAGAGATAAAGGTGAAGTTGCCATGGCAATAAAAAGGTAAATTTTGTCATGATGCGAGAAAAAGAAATTTACCACGGTAAGTGAATTAAACTTGCCATGGTCCATAAAATAAGTTTGCCACTTTGAGAAAAAAAATGATTTTAAAATTGCCATGGCCTGATATGTAATATTCCCGACATGGTAAAGTTGCCATGACGAAAAACACGTCTTAAATTGTTGTTGCAAAAAAGTATATTTTAGTTTCGATGTGAAAAGCACACCGTAAAAGAACATCTAAACTTGCCAATGCAACACATTTTAAGGCTCCGTGGCAAGTATTGAATGGAGTGAAAAAACTCCAAACTTGCCATGGAAACTCATCTTAAATTTGCCATGGCAAGAAACTCATCTTAAATTGCCATGGCAAAAGTACATTTCAGTTTTCATGGCAAAAACACACCGTAAACATGTCATATCAAAAAAAAATACATGTTTAAGTTTTGCGATGACAACACAACTAAAGTTGCCATGGCAAAACAACTCTTAAGTTTACATGGAAAAACATTAACTAAACTAATGGCAAATTAATTTGCCATGACAACACAACAAAAAGATGGTATATCTCATGTAAATTTGCCATGTCTGTGGGTTATAACTTGCTCTGCTACATATCCACTTACCATCAGTTGCATAATAGGATTTGCTCCGGGGCAACTACAGATTGCACCTTTGCTAAACCCAAACCTAGAGTGAAAATTAGCATGCTAACTGTGGGTTGAAAATTGCCATGACACCCCTAAACATTTTAAAGAGGGTTGACCAGATCTGATCTTAGCAGAGATGGCAAACTATTAATTATATGAAATTGTCATGGCAAAAACATGTTTTTCCTAATCAAAAAACATGGAAAAAATTACAGTGGCGGCGTATATCAAAACTTGACATCACTGCATCCATACTGGAAATGCCCATGGCAACTACAGATTGGCCATACCAAAATCGAAACCAGCAGCTAAATTAACAGATTGAAAAGCTATACTCAGGTGATTGCTACAACAAAGATCATCACCCTGCTGTCGTATGCATAAACACGCAACACACCAATTTGGGGACGAAAATCAAAACACACGGGAAGCAGAGGAATGAGACCTTGACTTCAGCTTAATGGTGTCGGGTGCCGGAGGAGCACAGAGCAGATGTGCCTTCCTGAAGACCGCATCGAGCGCGCGGAGGTCGCCGGACTTTAAGTGGTTGGTGGCTGCCGCGACGCCCTGACGAACACGCCGTTGGCCACCACGACCGCAGGCCCATTGACGTCGACAACGCGCACGGCATGGTGCCTCCCCCCACCCCCCTGGTCGACCAACATCTTCCCACGTCGGCGTCCACTGCAGAGGTCGAAGCACACCAGGGTCACCCGTCGGCCCGCCCCCGCCGTTCTCAGGGCAGGAGCTGAAAAGAAGGAGCAGCGGGAGTACACGGGAGCCTGATCCGCGGCGGAGCTCGAATCCCAGCTGCAGCCGCGAGCGCCTTCCTCCTCCTTCGAGGCATCCGCTTCTGCCGCCCGCCTCCCTGGACCTCCTCACCGCCACCAACACCACCCACGCCGCCGGGAAGACCACGGCGCTCCCCCACCCTTCCCCTCTTCCTCCGGCAACCTCCTCCTCTTCTAGACAACTCTCCCCAGGCCTCCACTCCACCGCCTCAACACCACGATGTTGGTCCCGGTGGAGATGTGAGACGGCGATATTCCTGCTCCTCGTCTTCGCCGCCGCCTGCCACCTCTCCGACGTCGCCCCATCATGGCCTTCCCTCGTCGCCGTGGCATGGCCGCTCCCCTTGTGTGTGCTCTGTGCGGGAGGAGGAGGGTGGGATGCAGAAATGAGCGGTGGGGGAGAGGATGGAAGTGGATAAGGGAGGAAGACATGCGTACGAGATGTTCGCGACCAGGAGCTTATTTCCCGAACTAAAAAAGGTATGACGTGGCTAATCTGGATGCTCTGATATTCGTGCTAATGATCCAATGGTGAAAAAGACGTTCGGTTCCCCTCAAAAAAAAAAAGAAAAAAGAAAAAGACGTTCGGCCCCAATCGTCAAAAACCGGCACGTTCGGCGGTTATCGTTTCCGTAGAGCTATCTTACCACACGGAAATCGTAGGTACTAGGATAGGACCACACGGCCTAAGAAATATCCACGCAGCCGTGGGTATTCAAAACAAATAGGTGTCACTTATAATTCGAGCGGTTTTATTATTAAAACATACACAGTCGATTCAGCTACAATTTGCATTCCGGTATGAAATTCATATTCAGTGGAGTTAGTGTTTGGCTTGTTATTTTATTATGTACTATTAAGTGGCGGACGTCCGCTGGGAGGGAGGCCCTAGCGAACGCCAGCACAGCCGTTTGATCGTAATCAAACGATGCCAATTTTCATGGAAAATGCCTTCAAAAACTGAAAACTGCCAACACCTTCAACCAAAATTGCCCCCCACCGCACACCCACTCCCACGAACGATCCATTTGCATCCAGTTACATAATATAATTCCTCAAGTCCAAAAAGATTGGAGACAGCTACACAATAGGAACAATCTTTTACACGCAAAACATATATAGAACAAAACTTTGTGATAAAAGAATAGAAA